TTTCTTTTACACGGTCATTTAGCCGGTATGCACAGTTAAAACTTTTGTATTTATTTATATTTTTGTATACTTATTGTACAGCGTACTCGATTTATTTTGTGCTATCGACTTCAAATTTTGCAGACAAGTAGAAGTCCACACCCACATTTAAACTGTTGAAACTCGGCGCCATCGAATGTCGGGAAGTATTTTAAAAAAATGATTTTTTTTAATGTTATTTCGTCTCCCAGAATAAAAATATTTTCTCCAAAAATATGAATCCGATTGGCAAAATTCTTTAACCAGGAGACGCGGAAGATTCGGTGCTATAACTTTTATTTCAAGCGTTTTTTTTATTATGTACCTGGTTAAAGAGTAAATTAATTGCCGTAAGTCAAAATTTGTAGAAATTATGGCTAATTCGTATTATAGGCTGCATCAACAGCTACATTTTTTGTATTTACGGTTTTCGTCTATCACGTACGCTGCTCAAGGTATTTAAAGAAATCCATTTAAAAATCACTATTTCTCAAACTCAATGTAGACGGGATGACGTCGTTCCCATTGTTGCATGGTTTTAGAAAAGAACTATTTTCTCTCTATGGGAAAAATTCGTGGACCAGGAAACGTGGAAGATCCAGGGCTATAAATTCTGCTTCGAACATTTTGTTAATTATATACAGGGTTTTTTGTTTTTTGGGCAAAAATTCAAAAAGACCTGAAAATTTTCTTTTTTGCGGGTAAATAAAAAACTGTAAAATTTGGCATAATTTGGTTTAGACAGTATCATAAACTGTATCGAGGGCAGCAATTTTTTTATTTACAGTTCATGTGTATTATGCAGGGTGCGCGAGATATTTGAATAAAAATATTATTGAAAGTCACTATTACTGGTACAAATTTACATATTTACCAAACTTCGCCATGATGTTGAATTTCGGCCATAAAAGGCACTTCATACAAAGTGTGCGCATAAGAAAATAACATACATCCGTAGAAGCACGATAGAAAAACAATGTGCCTGCATAGGACAAGAAGCTGCGTAGCACGTAGCGCGGAGCAGTCGCCTAGCGCAGCGACGAAATTGAGAAGGCAATCTTCCACCTGCGCCGTTCATATATGGAAGCTTGAAGTAACACACGTATCTTTTACTTTTACGATTGAACGATATACGATCGCCAAGTTCATATTCACGGAACAAAAAAAAAAATAACATTTTGTATTCCATACATAGTAAAACTGAGAACATTGGCATTAAAAAAGATAACGCTGTCAAAGTAATAAAGTAAGCCGTCCAAAGAATTACGTTATTGGTTATGAAATTCACTTTTTCAGTATAATATCTTCCAGACTAAGATATGTTTTCGGCTTCTTAAGGTAGTTTATTTATTCGTTCATTCGTTTCATAACGTTTCGAGAACCAAAAAAGATTCAAAACTTTATGTTAAACTAGGATTTACAGAAACGGACGAAATGATTGACAAAACTTTAAAGACATTCAAAAAAAATCTTATTGAGAAACACTAAGCCACCAATGCAAAGTCAAAAATTGTCAGAAAAATCTCAATTTTAAATAAAAGTATACAGGAAATCAAATTCGAGTTGAACAATATGTTTTAAAACCTAAAGACTACGATTATCAGATCGCTAAAGCGAGAATAATTAAATTAACTCCATCTTCGCTAGACAGAAAATTTATTTATATTGTTTTTTAAACGTTCTCAAAAAAAATTTCATAGCTGCTTCATAACTTCCTGTATTATCTGCATGTTCCTAAATATCACCGTTAATTTACAAGTTCGTCCTAAAGATAAACATTTCCAAAAATAATGAGACCAATTTGCTGCGTAAAATATACCCTCTTTGTCCGAAAGCGAGTTAATGCTACTAGTTTTACATTCTGACGTTAAGTGGTTTGCAATCAAACATTTCGATTATTTGTCTCGATAAAATTCAAATTAAAAAAGTTTACAAGTGACTTATTTTTTCAAAAATATCGATGTTGAACAAAATTATTTAAATACATTTTGCTTATAACATATTGGGACTTTTTCATATATTTTATAAAACGAAGAAAACCCTGTAAAATGTTACGTTCGAACAACATATCAATAACGATAGACTAGAACAAGCCTTGTTTCTTGCAGATACATTTTAGTTTAATGTTGGTTTAGAGGTTTCCAAGTTTAAAACTAGTTAATTATGAATTACTTTATCATAAAAATGTATTCCTAAATGATTTATCAAGGCTTTGTGGCTTTGGACAAATGTTGTAAAAAAATTACTCAAGAACAGGTTTTCAAATGTCAGAGAAATGTCACAATTTGTAGAAGGTAGTTTATACCTGGTCCACCTTGTAGCAGCACCAGTCACATCCTTAAAAACAGAGTCGTGATGGTATCGCACGTGCCAAAAATAAAACAATCGAAAATGAACAAAGCGAGGGCAGCGCGAGAGTTTCGCAAAAATATCGACTCTACTTTGGTACGCTACGGTCAGAGTTTAGCCCCCACCGAAGCGCGCGTGGGGTTTAATTAAAAGTTTTTTTCAACGGGAAAAGTTCGCGAATTAAACGCTCGGTACGTAATGGACTCGTTGTTTTCGGATACTTCTTTTTAATTATAATTAACGTCGGCATTTTTGCCCAACCGATTCGTTGGTCGTTAAGGTAAACAACGGGGATTCGAAATTTGACCAATTAACGAAAATAATTCCAACATCGAAAATACTTTTCGGGTTTCCGAGCAGCAACGCTTGCAAGTATGGCGCATGAAGAAATATTCAAACACCGGGTGACACAAGATAGTGGGGAAGCACTCTATAACTTTTAAACGGCTTGAGATAGCAATTTGAAATATGGAAGGGTTAATATAGGCTGAATGTCCAATTTTTTGACAATATGTAGTCAATGGTTGCACTTCCGGTTTGAGAGGAAACGACAGTAACTTTCGAATTTTAAATGGCGCAATATTTTTTTTTTAATTTTTGGATAAAGGAAGGAGAATAAAGGAAGCAGGCTGTGAACATCGTAAATACTATTTACTATGTCACCTGATCATGGGAAAAAATGTTCTTTACTTGTCTAATGGCAAATAATATTTAATGTAATGAACAATTATTTGTTTAATAATAACCTAGTCTTTTCAAGTAGCACCGCTAATTTTTCTACAACGTTTTGACACCAAAATTTTCAAAATCCGTTAAAAAATAAGCTCACAGGAAGGTGCGGTAAACGGTATTTGACTCACGAGTTTATTTGACACGAGCGGAGCGAGCTTTTAATAAACGAGTGACTTCAAAAGTTTACCGAACGTGTTGCATACTATACTTTTTCTACTACCGTTAGTTTTTGGTATATTTTAGCAAAACAACACGAATACATTCGCTGACATGACCGTCAGAATTGACAAACGTCAAAATTCAAAGCGTAGAAAATATCTCCGAAAACATCCGATTGCTCCCAAATCCGAGCGGTAAAATCGCGGAAATATCCGAAGTGGCTCGGATTCGTGGGAAACGAAACTAACGTGATGAAGTGACGCTTCCCACACTCTAGATCAATGTGTAATTAGGTATTTTACAGGCGGGAGTAGAAAAATACATTTTTATAAAAACAAAATATTACTTACGTGGCTTTGCTTCTATTCATCAAGTCGGCATGATTGAAAATTCTGACAGTTTGTACATTTTTATCTGATTATCGATTTTGTCGTATTATCAATTTGGATTTTCATGGAAAACAATAATCAATTTACAAATGGAGAAAAAGTTGATATGTTTCTGATATACGGGGAATGCAGAAAAAACTCTCGACAGGGGATTGTATGCAGCCCGCAATCCGGGACGTCGCCTTCCTGCACATTCTTTCTATAGAAAGCTGGAATTGAAAGGGAGATATCCACAAAATAATTGACATGATCTGATGTTTTGTAGCAATGTAAAACTTGTCTTACAAGTAAAACAAGTTGATATACCACTTTCAAATCGATTCTACCGACATTGTTGATGTTTTATTTTCAGATTTTCAAAATATTTTGTTAAATTATCAAGAAAAGTGACAGATTTGAAAAGAAAAAAAACTATTCTCTTCTTCTTCTGAGTTTCCGGTGTTTGTAGCTTATGAGGTACGTATACATACAATCCTTACGTTCGTTTTTACTGTATCCCCGTATTCCAAAAGTATATCAACTTTTTACCATAATAAAACACTTTCAAAAAAAATTCTAATCGTTGAATCTCAGAAGAAACTCTCCTTTGAATTTAATTTTTTTAAATTTGTTTTTTTTCTTTCCACTGCATGAGCTTGTCAAGATATTCTTATGCATTTTTGCTGTGAGCTTATTTTTTAACGGATTTTGCACAATATTGCAAAAAAAGTACCGGCTACAAAAAAAAATTTATTCCCACTAGGATGCTCTTGGAAACAACTTGGTTATTCTAAAAAATTAATAGTTCATTACATTAAATTAAATTTGCCATTAGACAAGTGAAGACAAGTTTCATTTACAATTTTTCCCATATACAGGTATATAGTATTTATAATGCGTCCTAAACACAATTTTCAAAAATAAAAATTTTAAAAAACAAAAAAAAGCGAAAAACCAACTTATCCTATGTAGAATGATCTGAATTCAAAAGTGCAAAAAAATATAGGTTGTGGTGTCATTTAAAATTCGAAAGTTACTGTCGCTTCCGCTCAAACCGGAAGTGCAACCATTGACTACATATTGTCAAAAAATTGGACTTTCAGCCAATATTAACCCTTCCAAATTTCAAATCGCTATCACAAGCCGTTTAAAAGTTATAGAGTGTTCTCACTTTCTTGTGCCACCCGATATAGGCTTTAGAGAGACCTTTTTCTCCTAATTTCACTCACCCCTAACAAATTAGATTCTAATCATATAATTTTGTAATACTAAGTATTCCCAAAAAAGGCATATATTTTAATAATAATCAATGTATCTATTTTTTTGTTTTTAATACATAAATACAATAACAATAATAATAATAAACGAAAGAACATTAATTAAGCAATATTTATTTATATTGATTAAATCCTTATTTAAAATGAGGATAATTTATAATAAGAAATGCAATTTATAAATAAGTATATGCAATTTATAATAAGCATAAGAAGAATGAGAAGAGGTAAGACATGGGATACAAACAAAAGAGGATTTGAATATGAAGTGTAACAAAATATTCGAAAGTCAATATAACAAATTATATCTCAAAAATAGTCATTCGGCTGCTGTGCATTTATCAATATAAAGTTCGATTTATAATAAAGGTACTTGATTATTATTTTAAAACAAAATCCTTAAATGCGCCAAGGAACGTAGTGTTTTATTATTTTTGCGACTTTGTAAACCAAAAGCGCGTACTCCCACTAAACTGTTAAAGTCCCCACACCCTTAAATTATTTAAGTTTAAAATGTATGGGATTTATACCTTGGAATTTTAAGAACACTTGGAAAAACACCCGACCTTTTATTGACTGATATATAAACTACGTACCTTAATAAGTGGTAGATTAATTTTGATAACTCGGATTTTTTTAATTTCTTTAATTAATTTATTGTTTATTTTATGAAAAATCAAGAAACTTGGAAAATCTCATTGTTCGGCGTATTTAAACAGTATCAATAAAAATAATAGATAAATATAAAGATAAACACTTTTTCCTCGCTTGCTGATTAATGGACATGGCGGCATGCTCTTGACTGTTATCTGAAATTCTTATTTTTATTTCTATCAAACCTGATTTTGCTCTCTCGATTTTTTATTATACTTTTCCCAAGTATACAATATAAAATAGAGCAATTTTACTGATTAATAAGTCCCCGTTTCCCTCGTACACTTCGCAATATTTCGAAATTTCCCACAATTGGCTTTAATTCGATCGCAAAAGCTATTTTTTATACTTTACGTTTTCCGTATTTCTTCAGCGACAATTCTAAAACTTTCTCGCTTACATCTAAACCGTAAGACGCGTGTGGGTGCAATTTTCATGGCACTATAATTTTATAAAAATATTCCATTAAAATAACCAAACATTTTGACCAAATTATTATTTTTGTTATTTTGATTTTCCTTTTTTCGAAATGTTTTTCTCTTGTTCTGCTTTTTTTTTCGATTTTTTCTCTTTCTCTTTCCTTAAACGGCAAAAGTCTCCTTCATCCGCAAAGCCCGAGTCAAGGCCTTTCCCAAAACGTCCTTGACCCTCTCGAACCTCCCCTCATCATCCAACAGGCCAACGTTCAAATTGATAATCATCGATTCCGGGCGCATGATGAAATACACCCCCTTCCTCTGACAGTACTCGTGCACGTAACGGTTTTCATCTTCCTTACCGTCTCCCACAGCGAACACTTTAAACGCACTGAGCGGGTCGCTCCGCACTGCGTAGCCGCTCGCCACCAGGAAGTCGTGGAACTTGCGCGACAACATCCGCAGCTTCTTCGGTTTATCACCGAGCGTCTCTATGGTTTCCGCGCACGCGCGGGCCAAATATGCGGGCAACGAAGCGGAAAACAAAAGCCCGGGACTGCAAAGAAACTGACATTCGCAATTTAGGAGCGAGCCTGCGCAAAATCCACCCACGCCGCTCAGCGTCGTCTCCAAACGCCCGAAAATCAAATCGATCCTCCACGGTTCGACCTCGAAATGCTCGCGGACGCCTCTGCCCCCATCGCCGAGGACGCCGACTGAGTACGACTCGTCCAAGAAGACTCTTATCTTGTGTCGCTCGGCGACCTCGAGGAATTGAGGTAACGGGAGTATCTTGCCGGTAGACCAAGACACTCCCTCAGCTATGAGGAACTTTCTCGCTTTACTGGAGGCGGTCTGCGCCTGCGCGTCGAAACTCTCGGGGTTATTGTGCTTGTAGTATACTATAGTCGAGCGTAGTTTCATCAGGCTCTGCAGGATGGCGACGTGAGTCGATTCGTCGACGAATACAACGTCGTCGCGTTTGCAGAAGGCCGCTACCACGCTGGATATGGCGACGTAACCGTCAGAGTAAACGACGCATTCTTCTGTGCCAAGCCACTTGGCTATGGAAGCTTCCAAATCCAGGTGCAATTCGGTGGTACCTGAAAGGGTTTCGCCATGGTCTTCGAAACTGATTTTAGAATTATTTATGTGCATTCTAGAACCCAAAACGCGAATGCAAGTAGGAAGAACAATGTCAGATCCTTTTGCTACACAAAGTGGGTAATTAGAGGGTTTGACTAGGTCCGTGAAGGCGTCTCGAGAAGTACAAAAGAAGGTCTGAAAAGACTGTATAAGCCAATAAAAGAGAGGGCAAAAACTTAGCCATACCGTACCGGGAACATAGCGGAAATAAAGCTCTAGCAGCTATTCTACTAGCAATACTTCGGAAGAACTACACATGCTTTGCGACAGACTCACCAATGTATGTAACGAATATGGACTAAAACTGAACACCTCAAAGACGAAATGTATGATTGTAAGTAAACAACCAGTAGACGCGTATGTGATTGCGTATGGAGTCCCGCTTGAGCAGGTAGACAATATTACTTACCTGGGATCTAACATAAACAACAACTGGGATATGAGTCAAGAAATCAAAATTCGTATAGAAAATGCTAGAGCTGCTTTTTTTCGGATGAAGCATGCAGCAAAAACCTCAACATCGAACTTAGGTTGAGGCTTAAAAGATGTTACATATTCTCGACTTTGCTCTATGGGATGGAAAGCTGGACGCTAAAAACGACGACGATAAAAAAGTGATACCTAATGAGGATAGAATGAATTAACAGGGACTGTTTTCAAAATCGCTGCTAGAGATTTTTTTCTCCACAAATTTACGATAACAAAGACATAAGTGTGTAAAGTGTTAATGCTCACTTCCGCATGAAGTTAGAGTTACCAGGGATTATTTTTGAAATCTTGTCCCAAAAAAAGACCCATTTAATACATATATAAACCATTTAAAACTTGCAGGGGGTAATTCTAAATTCCTATACGTCCTCTAAAAGGGTGGATATCTGATGAACGAATACTTCTTAAATGGACTTTACCTACCGAAGAACACTCTCGGTCCGCAGGTACCAACGCCGTACCGCCTGATAGCGTTTTCCGCTGCTTTTTTAATGTTCCCGTCATTTAAGACGTTGAAAAAATCGGTTCTGGCCAAGTCAACGGCGTCGTCTTCGTCAATGCGTCTCTTCTCGATTTCGCTTTTGCTCCGTGCGGATTTCAATTTTACCAGCGGTTCTGGCTGATACTGTTCGAGACGTCGGCGCAATACCAGCTCGTCCATCACGCGAAATGGTTTAGATTAAATTCTGAGCAATTTTTCCGTAATTCGTAAATGCTATCGTTAAGGTCGATTAATCAAATAATTATTCAAAAAAAAGTTTATGTAGCGACGAGAATTTTTTTTATGCTTAATGGTTCAATGTCGCGGCTAGATAGGGAAATCAAACGTATACAAGGTGTCGCATGTAATATCACAAATCCATAAGCTTTCTACAAGATTCAGTTGCCGGAAAAAAAGTTAAATTCTAAGTATCGTCATTTTAAAGGGAACTTTTATTTATTAAGTACGTTGCCAAACTTTTTTTAAGGCAACGTAAGATAGGAAAGAGTTTATTTCAAGATAAATTGCGTCAAAAATAAAAAACAAGACTTTTGTGTTGTGTTGAAGTTGAAGGTGAGGTTGTAATGCTGAAAGGTTTTGGTTTTAACTATATTAAAAAGTTTTGCAAACGTTTCAATGAGATCTTATACAACTCGGTTTAAGCGTAGAGTTTCTTTCAGCGTTGCCGAGTTCTCTAAGTACTAAGTAAGTATTGTATTTTTCTTTGCTTTAAGTGCTTCTACAGAATATCTGTTTTTAATCCATTGGTAGATTACAGGATTATAATCAAAATATACTTTAGGCTGCCTTATTTGGACTCCGCCGATTTGAAAAATACACCTCAGAGTTTACCTATTTCATATTCGTGATTCGATTTTTTGAAATATTTTAATAAAACAGATAGACAATTACCTATTACCGATTACTGCATGGTATCATCTTAACAATATTGTTATGACCATGCAGAGAAGAGGTTTTTATCAAGAAAATAAATTTCAGTGGCGTACTAGTGTATTTTAAAAAAATTGTGGTAAAGTCTGTTCATAGATATAAGAAAGTGACTAACTGATACGAATTAAGGAAAAACCCGGGCAAGCTGTTAGAATGACATATGGCCGAACAGGTCCGTACTTTGTTTAGAATTGAATTATTTGGGGTTTTGTTAGGAAAGATACTAAACAATATTTATTTATTTATGTCTAAATCTAAAATAAAATTACAAATTATTTTTATTACCTAGATCTGCCACATTTAACACTGGTTTTATCTTTTTCAAGCCTTATTATTATATTATTAGTATTATATCTTGATCACTTTCATCTACACTCGAGAAAATATTAGCATCGCTTCTTTTTTTAATCGCTGAAATGGGATTATTCAGAATTTTCCATACAGTTGATGTTGGAATTTTCGTCAATGTGGCCGTTTCTTCTAAAGATGCTTGCTTACTGGCGCCACGTTCAATGAGAGTCAAATAAACATTTTTTATAACTTCCTTAGTCTCAGTAGAATGGTGTTTTCTACATTTGGGCGGGAGCATCTCCTGAGATACACTTGACTCGCATATATTTTGCATAATTCGCACACGATTCAACATACGCTCTATTACACACGAAATAAGAATGATTACTAATAAACTTAAACTAAGTAGTATACCAAACCAAAGAATATTAAACACAGATAGGTATAAAATTATTTGCTATTACGGACCACAATTTTATCTGAATTTAAATTCCGAAACTTTAGGTAATAATCTTGTTGCATTGCATGTTAATGACCACCCTTGGATAATCCCATTTTAAAAGCAATTAGTCACTTTCTTATATCTATGAACAGACCATACACTAAATAATGCCGCTTGATACATGGACATGTGTGCCAAATTTCATTATAGATATTAAGAAATGTATATTTCATTTTTACTACCCTCTATCTGAAAGTTAAGACATTTATTACGTATGTTTATATGAAGTTTTCTTTTTAAAATGGACTCAAAAATCGCCCACTATTATTGACATTCAATTAGAAAACACCCTTTATAAACGTTAACGTAAAAAAGTTTAAAAAAAGTACTTTTACTTTCGTACTTTCACGAGCTTATTCAAAGTAAATAACAAAAATTTCGAAAAATTCAGTGGCGTACATTTCTTTAACAATAATAATCATTCCTTTCGGAAATGCACTAACTCAACAAATCGCCCAAAAAATTCTTATCTCTTTTTTTCCTGTGAAACAGCCTGTATACTTTCCCCGAGATAATTACATATGCATAATTAATTCGACTTATGAGTTTTTCGAATCTCATTTTTCGCGTAACCGCGTAATTAGTCGACTAATTTTCTGATTTTTTATTGGTTTGCTTCTTGAACTGAACCCGCGAGAGGCAATTGAAATGTGGATAATTAAACAAATTAATATCGAAACGATTTCACTGTAAACAAGAGAAACACACAATAGGCTCAAATTTTAATCAAAAATTAAAATTCATTATCTTCGACACCCAGCGTATTACAAGAGATCTTTCGGTAACTTTTTGGTAAGTGTTTAACCCGCTGTCCACCTGCCTTAAATATTTATGTAAAAATAAGCATAAATATATATTTTATGTTGATGCAGGTGGCGTTGCGGGTTTAACGAAGCGTATTCGAAAAGTACTCGACGTTTTGCTTTTTTTGCAACTCCCTTTTAACGTCCGAGTAAATGAAAACGAAGCAAGCGGATTTGTTTTCTGCCTCTGCAACTTATCGGATGAATTCGGCCGAGAAAAGCCGCTGCGTCAGCCGAAGCCCTCTCACCCAGTATAAATTTGCATTTCAATTTTACATACAGTTTACAATTCCGCAAATTTTGAAGTTATTCCTCGTCTGTATCCGGCCATTTTCTAATTTTCTAATTAAAACTTCGTTTCCCGCTAACCTCTATGTACTATGTACATACTGCTTTTTAAACAGTAAGCATTAAAGAAGAGAGGAAAATGTGGAATCTTGACTATGACAATAATAATAATAATATTAATAAACATGAATAATAAACCCTACCTCGAGAGACAACAGGGTTGCTGGTATAATACATCAGGCGCTAAGGTTCAAATTTATGTACCAACGCTAATCTGGGAAGATAAAAGGGTACGCCTGGATTGGGGAAGGACAATTCTTACCGACCGTCCAATCCCAAAACAATATATATACCAGATATTGTACTTACCTTAAAGCAGGAGAAAATAATCTACATTTTGGACGTCGCTGAACCCCTCCTCGGCAACATAAGAGCAAAATACATAGGAAAAATAAATAAATACTTGCCGTTAGACGATGAAATTAAGAAGATGTGGAAGATGGAGAAAGTAGTGGTAGTTTCAATATTAATAGGAGCGACAGGCGTAGTCCCAAAAACTCTGCATGAAAGCTTGAAGAAGTTAAATCTAGAACCTAATATTAGAGTATTGTGAGGAGAATCCTTAGAATGCAGAACTAAAGGCACTTTCAATGCTACCAGGAAAGGTCACCATCTTGTCAATAGAAAGATGTGACAGCTTGGAGTGCCATGAAAACTGTAAAATTATGATAATAATAATAATAATAATATATTGCCCAAACATGTATAAACAATACATTTAAAGTTGTCACTATGAGTTGTTGAAGTAAACATACAATGTATGTTGTTTTTGAGAGTTGCAGTTGTTATACAATTTAATACCGATGAATTTAATGGACGATTGAGTTTTGTTTACACGATGATAGAGAACACACAGATTATTTTTATGTTATTTTTTCAGTATGGGAACTATCCTTGCACACTTTAGCGCGTCAGGAAATACATTATGTTCAAAACACCTGTTACGAATGAAAGTCAACACATGTAATGCATCTTTATTAGGGTGCTTCATTTTTAGGCGATATTTTTTTTATCTGTGCTACCTTAAAATCTGATACTTTATAGACAATAAAAAATTATGCCGCCGGGTAAAGGGCTTTAAGTGCAACAGCTCATTTAAAAATTCATTTTCCTATTTAAATAACACCGAAAAAATTGTTTTTTTCGGTTTTCACTTAATTTTTCGACGTGAAGAAATTTTTTTTGGGAAAAACGCGTGTATAGCTTTTGTAGAGCAAAAAATTTGCTACAAAAAGTTTCTATGCGTACATTCTCCCCGACCAACAGGTTTTAAGAAAATAAATGTTCATTATAGTTGACATCAAATCATTTCTAAACAAAAGAACGCTTTATTTGAGTTATTACATGATTCAAGTTTCTAATTTCCAAAATTATTTTGTAATGAAATAGAGAAAATTAGAATTCAATTATTATAAAAATATTAATTATAATTAAATAAAAATTACTTATAGACATTTAGAAACTATTCATGTTTGCAATCCAGTGACCACTCTAAAATTTAGTGAACGAATATTTATTTTTATTGACACAACAGAAACTCCAAAATAACATAACAAATTACACTTCTACATATCATTATTTACCAATTAAAATTTATATTCGTTCACTAAATTTTAGAGCGGTCACTGGATTACAAACATGAATAGTTTCTAAATGTTTATAATTAATTATTATTTCATCATAATTAATATTTTTTTCATAATTGGCTTTTAATTTTCTCTATTTGATTGCAAAATAATTTTGGAAATTAGAAACTTGAATCATATAATAACTTAAATAAAGCGTACTTTTGTTTATAATTAATTGCTATTTAATGTAAAAATAATAAATCCGAATTTAGAAGTGATTTGATATCAATTATTATGAACATTTATTTTCACAGCTCTATAACTTAAAAGCTGTTGGTCGGGGAGAACGTACGCATAGGAACTTTTTGTAGCAAACTTTATGCTCTACAAAAGCTATACACGCGTTTTTCCAAAAAAAAAATTCTTCACGTCGAAAAATAAAGTGAAAACCGAAAAAAAAAAAATTCTGTGTTATTTAAATAGGAAAATGAATTTTTAAATAAGCTAAGCCGCTATTACACTTAAAGCCTTTTACCCGGCGGCATAATTTTTTATTTTCTATAAAGTATCAGATTTTCAGGTAGCACAGAGAAAAAAAAAATATCGCCTAAAAATGAAGCACCCTAATCTATATACATCCCTGCTACTTGAGGTTTTCAAGTTTCTGATGGCCCTGTCCAACACAGTCTCATTTGTGGGGTACATAAAACCGACTCTAAAAGAGACTCCGTTTTTTTTTGCCGTCT